CCCCCCCCCTAGAAAGTTTTCTGCGGGCGCCCATGGCCTCAACGCACGTGATCCATCGCCTGCTTGTTCGTACTCCCACCCCCCCCCCCCCTTCCCCCAAACCGGATAAATAGGCATTTTTTCTCGCTTTCCCCCGAGGGTGTCGTGATCGATAACTTGAGCGCCAGTTCACCAACCCATAAACCTAACAATAATCAAACATGGAGTGGAGCTTTGCTATGCCCGTTAGTGTAGCTTCCCTATGCCCGTTAGTGGAGCTTCGCTATGCCCGTTAGTGGAGCTTCCCTGTGCCCGTTAGTGGAGCTTCGCTATGCCCGTTAGTGGAGCTTCCCTATGCACGTTAGTGGAGCTTCCCTATGCACGTTAGTGGAGCTTCTATATGCCCCTTAGTGGAGCTTCCCTATGCCCGTTAGTGGAGCTTCCCTATGCCCCTTAGTGGAGCTTCCCTATGCACGTTAGTGGAGCTTCCCTATGCACGTTAGTGGAGCTTCGCTATGTACGTTAGTGTTGCTGGTCGCTTGTTGGTAGCAGTTTTCATTTTTCCGATACCAATGTACTCTTAGTATTGTAATAAATATCATCATGGCGATACCGCCAAAGCCTTCCTTCTGTTAAGCCAAATTGCTTCACTTAATTAATGAGTATTCAATTACATTACTATGAATGAATTTTATGAAATAAAACTTTAAAAAATAATCAACAGGGGTGTCATTTTCAGGAGTCAGGCGGGGGGCAAACCCAAAATTTATTCAGCTTGTTAAGGAGGGGGGCAAATGCCCTCCCCCCCCCCCGCCCTACCCAAAATGACTTCCTGATCCTGATAATCAAATGGGGAAATAACATCGTTTGCGCCTCACTGTATGTGATATAAATTGTTAATATAAAGTTCCATGGTCATAACCAAAGATATGCATCTTGCTAAGACAACATACCTTTCGCAACAAATAAACTTTTTTTTTTAGTGCTTTGTATTTTCATATAGCTTAGGGTCTATATTTGGTTTCGCAATAGTCGCTATTCAGTTTTCTTTTACTATTTATATTTATTTAATTCAGGTAAAAATGTACAATAAAATTATGTTTAAAAAAATCGAAGTGGCTATTCGGACCCGGGTCCGAAAAGTTAGAGGTTGGGATTAAAATATAAACAAAATGTTATTGTTAGGATGTCATTTGTGGTAGTTTATTTTAGTTAAACTTAAGAAGTAAGTTTACAAACATGTAGTCCATTCAATTATCTTTCATTTGATACTAAATTCTGTCTTACAAACCCTACAATAATTTTAAAAAAATATTTTTTAATAAACCCAAACTCTCACTTCTCGGACCCGGGTCCGAATAGCCGCAGCCTAAAAAACTTACACCCTACCTATAAAAAAAATGTTAACACCTGGGCCCCAATTGTTGCTTGTTTGTTGTTGTAGCTGGGTTTGAGCATGTCCCGGTTGTGCCAATACTCGGCATTTTTGGAGTAGCGGGGTCAGTACCCCAGCACAGCCGTTGAATCAAAGCAGTTCCCTATTGGGTGTTTGCAGTTTTATTGAAATTCCTAAAGTGATCGGGAATGATGTTTAAGGACAAAGCTTTTGTGGCCACTAA